ATGATATTGATACAACATGTGACAAAGTACCTGATTAATCTGCAGGGCCTCTTTGAACCAGTCAGAAGCTTCGTAGAAGTTTCCTTTGTCGCGAGCCATCGCTCCAAGACGCAAATAACCTGCAGGTCAAAAATGGAAGCAATTTGTCAGGGTACAAACACTTTTCTTCTTCTTGCTCTCACTTTTTATTGTATAATGCTGCATGCTTACAGTCCACATAGTTAGGATGCTCTCTCAGGATGTTTTTGTAAAGTTTCTCAGCTTCGTGGAATTCGCACATTGCCTCGTACAGGCGGGCCAGATTGTAGGAGGTGGTGACAGAAATGGCGTTGTAGTAATGCTCGTCATGCTCTCCTTCGGCTTTGGCCCGCTCGAGAGATGCAAGAAAGTATTTCTGTGGGAGAGAAGACGTGACCCATCCTTGAAATCCCACTGTTGTTAATGATAATTATACAGTGTTCTACATACTGCAGGACAACAGAGAAAACATATTTGAAATAAGCTGTACTGTATACTGAGAGCTACCTTGGCCTCTCCAAGGTTGCCCAGTCTGAAGTGAAGAGCCCCCAGGTTGTTGAGGATCTCGGGGGGAACGTCGGCCTGCACCTTCTCCTGCAGGATGCGGGTGGCTGTGCCGTACGCGGACAGCGCTCCCTGAATGTCAGTCTGCTCCAGGATCTGAGCCAGCTCGATCCACGCCTCCACATCGTCTGGGTACTGCTCTGTTACTTTCTTCAAATGACCCTGGGGAACAAACCGTGAAATATGAGCATTCAGCATCAACTGCTTTAATAACGCATATGACTGCAACTGCGATGAAATCATCTGTACAGAATACGTACTTTGGCGATGTCTCTCTTTTCCTGATCGTCAGATGTTGCGTAGAGAGACCCCAGAATTTTCATAGTTTCGTAGTTGTTGGGGTAGGCCTTTAAAACCTTCTCAAAGCACTGTGCCGCGTTCTCTTTGTCTCTTCGATACACATACATCTGTCCCAGGCCAAAGAATGGCAACACAAAGGTGGAGGAGGCAAACTGAGTGGCCTGGTAGTAATACTGAAACGCTTGGTCGTAGTCCTCCTGAAGAGAAAAGGAGACATCAGAGATGTAAAGTGACGCAGGGAACAAACAGTGTGCTGCCTCTGGATCAGTTAGGATCTTACCTGCACGTGAAATGAGCGAGCTAACTGGTAGCAGCTCTCCGCTTGCATGGCCTCGACCTCGGTGTTATGGAAAGCGTGGAGGGCCAGATGCTGCACTTTGCTGTAATCCTGATGATAAACGAAACCACAAGCAGGTGTGAATAAAAGTTAAATAAGGCTCTGGTTTGGATTTGTGTCAGTGGTTCAAGGACAACAAGAGTACCTTTTTGAAGAAGAAGTGGTTGGCGAGGTGGTTGAGCACCATGGGGTTGCTGGGGTCGATGGTGTAGGCCCGCGACAGGAGCTGCACTCCGTTCTTGATGGAATCTGCCTCCTTGTTGTTGAGCTCTAAAACCGCCAGACCGACGAGAGCTCCCACACACTTCGAGTTCAGCTCTAGGGCTCGACCAAAAGCCAAACGAGCCTTCTCCAGTTTGTTGAGTTTGACAAAGCAGTGGCCCATCCCCAGCCGTACCTCAGCTGGACAGAGACACAGGAACAAGACAGAAGAAAGGTGAGGAATGATCTGAAACACGTCTCTCTGTATGAGAAATGCAGTGATAGCAGTAGCAGGAGTTAAGAGCCTGGTCGATATGTGTGATATATTTATTTATCACAGATATCTGAGTTTGCAAATATGAAAAAAGGAATGTTTGACCAGCTGCAACTTTATGTTTACTTGAAACAATTAATCAATTATTCAATAGATTCAATATTCAGAAACAATTTTGATAATCTATTAATTATTTATGCCATTTATTACTTTTCTCCATTTAATTGCATTGTAAAATGGATATCTTCTAGTTACTTGAAGAAGCGACCTCCTGCTCTGGGATGACGTGCTGAGAATTTGTCGCCATTTTCTAATATTTTATAAATGATTGTGATAGATAATAATTATAATTATTATTTCCAGCCATATGTTTTACCTTTATTTATTTCATTCAAGTTAAGTGTTTGTGTTTTTTGTCATTTATAATTACTTACTGTAATCGACAGCAAAGTTTACTGTCAATTTTTAGACTCTAAGGGATCTTTGTCCAAGAAGTTTATTTTGTTTATGCTTTTTTTATACTCAGATATAAATATCTTGTATCAACCAGACTCTAGTAGTAGCAGTAGTCGTAAGTATAAATAATGCTGTAGTAGTAATAGAGGGTTCTGTTTCGAGGATATACAGGTAACATGTTTACCTGGGCAGCCAGGGTTCGTACGTAGAGCCTTTTTGTAATATGCCAGTGCTCCTCTGTAATCCTTTTTATTGAAGGAGATGCAGGCCTTACCTGTCGAACGACAACAGCGTCATTATTTGAGTGACTCAATCACAGTGGTCAAGAATAATATCTTATGTTTTTCTGTTCGGTTATCTTGCCAAGCAAAGCAGGGATGTTGTTGGTGGACTGATTGAGGACGAAGTGGAACTGAGCATCGGCCTGGTCCATCTTGTCTCCTTCCAGCAGGCAGAAACAGGCTCGTCCCAACAAATGGTTCTGAGTGAGCGGAAAGCATTTTATATTTATACTTAAACTGCAACATTAGTGGAGCCATAGCAGTTTTCTCTCATTATCACCCACACTGACAGACTTCTCCTTACCTGATCATACATGATGATCTTGTCTGCCATAGTATAGAGCAGCGTGGCCTGCGTGATGAGCTCTTTCTTGGCATCTTTGTTTTTCTCTTTACGTGCTTGCTGAACATAATACGCCGCCAGTGTGTCTAGACAAGTCATCTGGTCCTTCTCGTGGTCTCTGTAGTCGAGGTTTCCATCAATACGAGCGGCCTCTAACAGCTTGACGAAATCCTCCGTTTTGCCCTGTTTGTAATACTCCAACTGCAAAAGACAGAGCGTAAACTGTTACAACTGCGTACATTTCTTTACATGAATCAAGCTTAATATCTGGATTATGATAACAAAGTGTAACCACTGAATGTGTCAGCTCCATTGACTCACCGCCAAAGCGATCCATATGTGCAGCTGCGTATGCTCCTGCTTCAGGATACTGATGACCTCGTCTCCTTCTGGCAGCTGGTCGAAGTCGAGCTCGATAACCTGCATGAAACGATTTATTCAAGGCATTAAGCAGCGATGTCTGATAAAACTCATAAACTATGTGTCATTTCAGAGTGTTACGGATGAGGGTTAGACAATACAGTGATGCATACTGCGAGACAATATCAATTCATCAGCCGTCAGTATATGAGGCCACTGTGGGTGCAAAACACTGTGCACTGCTGCTTCAAGGTATTTGTGTATTTTTTTTTTATTTCTTTTGCATCAACACAATAAAGTACCTTATTCTGGAAGCTATTTAATTCACTGCATTAGCCAAAACTGTCCATGATCCAGTCTGGGTATTTTATCCATTAACAGTTTTTCCATTGATTTTGCAGAACAAACAACTCCAACACTGTCCTCTTCACTTGCAGTGATGAAGGCTTTTGTACCGTAACACTGTTATTAATCTCTGATTGCAAGTGAAAAGGACAGTGTGCAGTTGAGTCATTTGTTGTGTATTGTCGATGGTCTTCTCCTATTCACCTGTCGATCTACACCACTGATCGTACAGAAAACATACAATATCACATACACACTACACTGTCACTTAATTAGACACACTTATGCTTAAACTAACTTAAGTTTATCTAACTTAATAAACAGCCCTGCTGCAATAAATCCTACTTTAATGAAGGTAAAGTGTTTTAAAGAGGTGTTGATTCAACTTTATGGTCATGTTGGAGGCTGTAGTGCTGTTGAACTGTATTGTTATACTAAGGGTTATATCAACAGTCAACATATTATAAACATCTCTCTGTATAAAGCAATACATCTCAAGAGCACCAACAAATTACAGCCCTGCAGCTGTTTCAATACTTTGCCTTCTGAACTTCAAGTGATACCCGATGATGCTGTATAAAGTTATGACTGTCACTGCTGTAACTTAAAATGCCAAAGATATAATATGTTATGGGCTCTCATTTCATATTTTCAAGTTCTTAAACTAACAAGGACCTCTGTAAGAGCTGGATTCAGTGTGGACTGCTTCATTCAGAGCAGCAATGACAGAAAACATCTCAGTAACTTCCCTCGGAGCTTCAACTCACATTACTACAGACGTTAATAATGTTGGCGAACTTCTACACTTGCTGTATTAAACATTACTGGCCTTTAGCTTTCGCGTCCACCTGCACGTATGGACCACAACGCCGACTTCGCGTTGCATTAAATTCGCCGCTGTGTGTGCAGCCCATTAGCTAATGCTAGCCACAGTTAGCACACAGGGCTAACAGCACAGCGAGGTTTCACTGACAACAATAAATCTACTTCACACATTAAACCACTTCTACCTCATCCGTGTCCCGTAGAGGGATCTCGATAGAGCCCCGAGACATCTTGACTGAGGAAAAATCCACTTGAAGTTTAGATTTATTTAAAAAAAAAAAAAAACTATAAAAAATGTTGAGCCCGTTGTCTGGTGGTAGCTACTTCATGCTTCCGACAGGAAACAAACAGACGGACGGTGCAACTGGAAATCTGTCCGGTCAGTTCGATCGGCAGCCTGAAAGAGTTCCTCCAGGATTTCAAGACGGGATGCTCTTCGATGAAAACGCTGTAATAACAGCAATAAACAAAGGATGGGCACGAAAATGTATTTTTTTTATATTCAATATCAGTTTATTTACAAGCTAAACAACATGTTAGATAAAAGTTAAATATATAAAGAACCATCCACCAGTCTCAATAGCAATATTTTTTAATGTATTGAGAATAGCTTCTCTTGCCACACACTGACTGCACATTTAATCCCTACATTTGCTAAATTCAAAGTTAAAAATGTGGAAGAAAAGCTTGGCAGACTGATTGTGCATTTGATATGTTAAACCGGTGAATTTAAATTGAAATCCATTAACTGCATCATTGTCACAGACCTCTGCAGGGCAGCATTTTGGCAGGAGTGGGATGAGGTGGGGGAGGGAGGGAGGTGGGGGATGTCAGCTGGTTTTGATGTGAAGCAGTGCAAACAAGCATAAGAGCATCTTGAAGACTTCTTGTGCTTCCATCACAGTGAATCAGAGGAGGACTAGAAAAATACTAATGAAAATGAAAAGCTCCTAATTTAACATTTGATAATCTCGCTTTTCTTTACAGAGGAACTGGCCCGGACTGAGAAGTAAGAATTTATATTTATGACTTATTACTATTTTTAAAGTGATATTTGATGGTAAAGCCACTAATAGCCAAACAAAATAGGTTATAATTACGTTGTGCACAAGTTTGAAAGGAATATTGTATATTTAACACAGACAGAATACATTTTTAGTGATAAAGATTTGGTATGATCGACATTTGGTTTAGCTATTTTGAAAACATGTTATTCTTTTAACCCAGTGTTGCCATCATTATTGCCAATGAGAGCCAATTAACCTCATATCTGTCAATGTTGTATCACTGTGAGATGACTGTAGATTGATTTTAAGATTTATCTGAATTTCTATTGCGAGGTTTGGCCTCTATAAATAATAAGTGAAGACGTATTTGACGTTTATTAAAATGGCAGGTCATGTAGCAACGTGCTAGTCAGGGGAATTCAGGAGAAAGAAGCACAATGTCTAACAGCAATGACGGTAAGTTGCTTTACTTTGTTCTTTTATTAACGTATCAAACAAATATTTATTCAGTATACTAACTTGCTTTACACGTATACTTCCTGTGCATGAATGTACACTAACTTTTGTCCAACTCTACACGTTTAGTGTGGGAGTCACCCGGCTGTGGGACAAGAGATGAGGACAACAAAGACACAAGTGGATTCTCTGAACATGAACTACTTGACATCATGTATAATGCATGTAACACCTCCAGCACAGGTAAACAGGCTTATGTTGATTTCAACAAAGCAGATTTAAGTTATCATATGAACCCTAAATCATGGTTCCTGTGTCTCCCTCGTCTTGCAGGAGAGGTGTTGGCCTCCACCATCGTTCAGTACCTGCAGACCATGACAGCTCAGAGTCCGGAGCAGGACCGGCTGGCTTCCCTCCGACGGCTGCTTGACCCTGATTGTCAGGACCCACATGTGAGCAGAGAGAATTTCCACTCTACCATGAGGGGGTGGATCGCACAGTGCAGCCAGGACAGGTGAGACAAACCTGGATGTCATGTAGGGTTAGGGTTAAGCATCATGGACCTTGATTTAGTTACCGCCTTTATATTAAGTCACCACCTTTACATGGCTGAAAGGTAGTCGTGTAAATGTATTCCACTATGCTTAATTATCTGCAAAGCCAAAGGCATCTGCAGTGTTACATTTTTATAACAATCACATACAATTGTATAATGTTGTAAAATGCAGTCAGCCAGTTCATCAATTAAAGGACCAGTGTGTAAGATTTAGTGGCATTTAGTGGTGAATTTTCAGATTGCAGCTAACTGAACACTGATTGCGTCTGTATTTGACAACCTGAGAATGGGAATAGGCTGTGAAGTCAGTAGGAGAAACTACGGTGGCCACGAATCTCAAAAAACTCAAATGGCCCTATCTACAGCCAGAGTTTGGTTTGTCAGTTCTGAGCTATTGTAGAAACATGGCAGCCTCCATGGTGGAGATAAATACTGGCTCATTATCAAAATGTGTATATGACAAAACTATGTCTCTAATTGTGTGTGATAGGTGAATTATAACACTAATGAAAACATTACCTATGAACGATTATTTCCATTTCTGCTAAATCGTTCCTCCCTAAATGTCACTAGACCTTTAAATGTACTTTAAATGTTTTTAAATAGTTATTTTTTTATTTTAATAATACTGACCTAAATAATCAATTAATACCATCCTGATAATGGGTCGGATTTGGTCGGATTCCCCTTGAAATCAGACGAAGATGTGGTGATTGAGACACTACTGCTTTTTTTCCACAGGGGCCGCCAGAATCAACACAAAATGAAAGTTCCTTGTAGCTGCTTTAAGTAAAATTAATGGAGGACTTTTACTTCTAATGGAGTATTTTTATACTGTGTAATTGGTACTTTTACTTAAGTAAAAGATCTTAATACTTCTTTTGCTACTTCTCTTGAGGCAGCAGCAAGAGCGTCCATGTAGATTCTTCCTAGAAATGAAGGAAGGGAAGATGACCTGCAACAAACTTCTGTGTATTTAGAGCAGATAATGCACAATATGGATTTCTTTTCAGCCAATACAATAATCAATAATTACCTGATTCTCATGACAGACACCAATAAGATAACTGATAATTTAAAATTTTTGTATTTTAAAAGTAAGTTAATAACCTTTAGTTTTTACACACCTGACAGTAAGAAAGGCTAAGATGTAGTGAGCAAAGATGGATGATTTAATATTTAATAGCTCTGATCTAATCAAATCAGACATCACTATTGTCAACACAAGAAAAACAATCAAAAGTTCAGACTATTAAAATGTTCATTTATTTATTAGTGATTTTTTCCTAGTAAAGTATATAAAGAATTTCACAAACAAACTTTGGCTTTCATTGGCTGTAATTTAATTTAGCAAGATCATTTATAATAATATAAAATTCTCATTATCGGCCGATCATTTATCTGCCTCTATAATTATCATGCATCCCTAATTTAGAGTTAATTAAATTCCTTAATTTTATTTTAAGTTGATTTTAATTTTTCAAACACAGCAGGACATTTCCAGTTAAATTAATTTGTTTCCAACTAGTGTATTGTTGATTAAATTGATTAAAATGAGCTGTGGGAACTAATGACTCTTCCTCTGTTTCAGTACTGATGTGGATAGCAGTCATGTATCTTGGCCAGACTCCTCTAAAGTGCCTGCAAACGGTAGGCTGTCACTGTTTTGTTCAGACTTCTGAGAAGTGTCTTATTTACTTAATTCACTGAACCGGATTTCCTCTCAGGGCTGGATTTCTCATCTTCCCAAAGCAAAGCTGCGTCCTCAGAAAGCCACCAGTGTTCCTGGTCAGTTGCTTTACTCCTTTAATCACTGCATGTGTGTTGTCATACTTCACCACTAACTGTTTGTTTGGCTTCAGTGATGAAAAAGACCTGTTAGGCACAGTGGCCGAACTGAAGCACGCTCATCGCAAGCTGAGTGAGCAGAACAGCAGCCTGCTGAGGACGGTGGCTCAGTGTGAAGACATAAACCTGCAGCTCACTCTGGAGATCACTGAGTTGCGAGCAAAGCTGGCCAGGTGAAGATTTACTGTTTCTCTAATTTAACTCCAGTATGAAGGATTATACTGTCAATCCACACAAAAGCACATTATTATCTCGTTTGTTTTAATGATCAACTCAGAACTCAGAACCGACTCAGAAGTACAGTTTAATTCCAACTGGAAGCACAGTTTCAACGCAACCTGACTCAGATGACTTACAAGTGACATGTCTCTGCTTCACACACATCTTTTAGCTAGTTAACAAGGCAGTTATCAGAGCTAGAAGCTTGAATGAAAAAAGTGAAAAGGCAGGTTCAAACCTAGCCAATACTAATAAAGATTGACTGTGTAAAGCAGGAGTAGACTTAGAAATACGTGTTCATTTTACCATACAAAAGACTGGCTATCACACCTTTTATGCCTTTTTAGACTTTACGTTGCTTAATGAAAGTGTCACTTCTCCCAATTTTGGATTTAAACAATCTTATGTTTTTTGGGTGTGTGCAGTGCTCAGCGGTCAGCAGTGAGAACCAGATCCTTGACAGAAGAACTGGAGGAGACCCGTCGGGCGTTTAAAGAAGCCCAAGAGAGAGCCAGCCGCAGCCAGACCAGCTGCACCAAACTGGTACATCGTGAACTCAACTGTCTCTCATTGACGTTACTTTCTATGTTGAGTTCATTTTTCTAATGCAACTACATATTTACGTTTAAATCTTTTTACCTTTTCAGGCCAATGAGGTTGAATGCCTGAAGGTTCACATAAGGAGGCTTGAAGACAAGGTAATGTAGATCTGTAATGTCAGTCGAAATGTGAACACTAAAGTTTATGTTCTTTTTTTTCATATAATAAAATTGTGTCCACACAGAATGAAAAACTCAGCTTTGAAAGGACGTGTTCTGAAGACAGCATCAACAAACTGAGGAAGATCAACGCTGAGTTGAGGGTAGGAACAGATCAGTAAAACATGCTTGTTTTTGTCCCTGCATTATGAGTTTGAATTTGAGTAAAACATCTAAAATGTTCACAGGCCGAACTTGAGGAAACCCTGGTTATGTTGACGCTGAGAGACAGAGAAATCACAAAGGTTGGTCTATCTGGGTATTTTCATCAGAAAAAAAAGAATCTGTTCACATTTTTATTTTGTTTCTCAACTTTATTTGTTTATGTTATGTTTCCACACAGAAAGACATTCTTATGGATAAGATGAAGAGCTCTCATGTGGAGAATCACAACATGATCGAGGTATGTTTGACGCTTTGTCACAAAGCAGAGATGGCACTTTGAATTTGAATCTTTGGTAAAATGGAATGATATAGAGTAAGATATATAGAGTAAAAAAGTAAAGAAAATATAGTGTGTAATTACAGTGCATCATTTTAAATCATGAATTTCAAATGCAATGTGATAAGGCTAATTTTAAAGTGATGACTGAAGTATCACAGCAATCAGCCTCATAATAAAATTTAAATTTAATTTAAATATGTTACATCTTGCATGTGTTTAGACTTTATTAAATAGTTTTGAATTTACATTTTAGCTGTTACTTAACTCTGTTCTGGTGTTGCAGGGTCTGCAGTCAGAACTGATGAGGTTACAGGAACATTCACGCCAAGTTCTTTTGAGGTAATCTTAATAAATGGCACAGATGGAACATTGCACTGGCTGGCTGCACCTTTTCTCAAAAGGCTTCTCCTTCTACTCCTACAATCTACTGTGGGTTGGATTGAACCTCATTTATACGTCTATTTGGATAAACACATATTTAAATCTACATTAATATCCTAATTACTAATAACACAAATAAATGTACTGTATTCCCCTGACTCCAGCAGTTTAGCATTGCAGTGCAGGGACTCCCAAGAGATAGATAGAAGAAGAACAATCAAAATCAAAGCAAAAGAAGCAGAGACTTTTGTCTCCAGAATGGGTTAAACTCCACAAACACTGGAGCCTACATTTCCCATAATGCAACTCAATAGCATATTTCATAAGACTCTCTCTCTGCATCCTAAACACCCAATAGTTTAAAACCACACACTTCAACTTTTCTAATATAGGTTTTCTGTTTGAAAGTACTGCCCTGATGATAATAATCAGGGTAGGGGTGTCCCTTTAACAGAGGGATGTGTCAGCTATTATAGTTATGTAAGAAACTTAAAGGTCCAGTGTGTAAGGGTAAGGCGAGTTTGTTGCAGTCTGCAACTACACTGCAGGATGCCACTACATCCTACACACTGGTCCTTTAAATATTTTAAAGAAACCTTTTTGACTATTTCCAAGAAAGAAAATTGATTGGAAGCTAGTGAACAGGATAAGATTATGATTTATAAAATATCTTTTTGTGTATGAAATGCCATCTCATCTGCTGGTTTCTGACAGGTATGACAGAAACTGTATCAGCCCTCAGAGTCTCTACAGTCGAGATCCTCCAAACCACCGCTCTCTGCAGAGTGAGATGCAAGATATGCAGCCGGTAGGAAATGCTCGTTGTCCACCTCCAGGTCATTTTTTCACGGTGCTGAGTTTCATGTTGTCTTTTTTGTCTGCAGCAGCATCACAGAGCTCTGGACGACATCAGCCTCCCATCCCTGCACACGTACAGTGATGATATTCAGAGCATCATCCACAGGATCAAATCTGCAGAAATAGCTCATTTTCTGCACAATAAGTATCCTGAGAGGGTGAGGAGTGAGGAAACAGAGGACAATAATTGTAACACGCAGTAACATGTATTTATATAAATCTGTCTTATCTCTCTTGTGTCTTCTCTCAGACACAGGACTCTGCTCCTGTAGAAACACAGGAGAGGCCTTTTCCTCACCGCCAGCAGCAACAGGCAAGCATCAAGCAGCAGCTTGTCAATGTGTATGTGAGTTTTTTACCTCCTTTTCTCCTGTTATGGTAATAGACTATATTTGGTTGATGTTAGTCTCTGTTCTGACAAGCTTCCTCCAGCTAATAAAATGGGTGTCTGGTTGTGACAGCGTATTTATGGGCATCTCCATTACGCAACCCATAGGAGTTACTATCGTGTCTGTGTTAGACCCTATCAGGGATAAGTGCAGTTTTAGTACCCCTTGGTAACTACAGACTTAACAGTGTGTAAAGGAGATGTTTATAAAGCTGTGGTGGTGGTTTCAGGCTGCAAGAGCTGGAGCTACACAAGTGTGTGTGGGAGGAGAAAGGGGAGAAGGTGGAGGAGCGCTGGAGATCAAAAGGGGAGCAAAAGGAGCAAAAGCAAAGCCAGACTCAGAACCAGGAGTCCAAGAAGGTGGCTGTGGTGAACTGGTGGAAAGCCCGCAGCGTAGAGGGGGCTAAGGCTCGGACAAAAGAAACCAAATCAGTCCAGGAGCTCTCTGAGACACAAGCAAAGCTCCAGCAAGCAGAGCAGACGATCACTGATATGAGGGAGCAGGTCTGCCACCTGCAAGCCTCTCTAAGATCTGCACAGGAGTGTGTTGCCGAGCCAAAGAACACCAGTGGAGTTCTTCATATTGACAAGGGGACCAACACTGAGAGAGGGGAACAAGACAGAGCTGTGGGGAAGGTTGTGAAGGATCAGAGGGATGCAGCAGTGTCCACAGAGATTACAGGTGGAGCAGCCCCAGAACAGGAGCAAACCCAGCTTCAGGTGACTGCAGACGGCCTTCTGGCGACCCTTAGAAGGATGGAGGTGATGGTCAGCAGCGCCCTGGAGACTGCCGAGCAGGTGAGAGAAAGTGAGCAGAGGGTGAGCCAGGTGAGAGTGAGGATGGAGAGCATCACCCAGAGGGTGGAGGAAGCTCTGGACAGAGCAGCCCACACTGACGAACAGCTCAACGTTCTGGAGGCCAGAATCACAGAACAAGCTCCAACTCAGGTCTGTGTTAAAAATCAGTGTTTGCTTTACAGTTGAGTAAGAAAATTGTAATTTTTTTAAATGATCTTGATTGCTTAAAGGTCACAATGGTTAGTTCTGTAGTATGTTCATAATAAGTATGGATGTTCATTTTGGTAAAATATGCATAAATACTGTGGAAAACAAAGCAAATTACAAAACAATATTTTGTCATGAAGAGCTCATAAACACAATCTGCCAGAATAAATCATGCTGGTATTAAAGGTTCTGAGTTGAGGTTATGACATTACTTGCACTCTTAAGACACAACTTGTCTCTGCACTCCAACACTTGATAAAAAGAGTGTGTGTATACACTTTACATTTAACAAATCCTTTTGACATCATGCAATGATTAATCTTGCCTTTGTGAAAGATACAAAAAATAGCATAAAGGCTTTAATAAGCCACATTACCTTTAAACTTGCAGAGATATAAACTTAAACTGCACCATGGCACAAATTCTTTCATTTGTTTCATTTTTATAATTTTAATGGCCTTAGGACGTAAAACTTTTTTAAAAGTATTTAAAAAGAAAATAGCAAAGTCATAAGTCATAGAACCTTAAAATTGTAGTTGTAGTAGAAGTAGTTGCACTAGTATTAAGGAAATAATAGTGATTTCATATTTTTTACATAATAAAATGTCTACACATGAAGTTGATTTGTTATCTCTCTTAACATCTCATATGTAAGTCTCCAGGGCCCAGTCTGCCATCTGATCCTGGAACAGACGCAGCAGGCTTTACGGCTGAGTCCGATGTGGAGCCTGAAGACGGAGACAGAACGGAGAGTCCTCCTCTATCTCCTGTAATCCCAGAAGTCTGTGAGCCTCCACAGCTACCCATGAATGGTATGATGGCTGCGTTACAGAAATATAGCTTCAGTGTTATCGTGGTTATGGGGTACACTGTAAGACACAGATGAATTAAAGCAACTTCCTTCTCGAATGGTAATCCCTGAGGGTGTCTGAAAATAGGCACAGCAGATATTTACATTGCACAAAACAGCTGGTGCAGTGAGGAGGAAGAGAGCATAAGCTCTAAGGGAGTGTATGTTATCTATCAAAGGGGGCCATGAGGAAAATTAAGGAGGCCAGAAATATTTTTTTAAGTAAACACAGCAAGGGTCAAGTATTTTTGCTACATCACATTTTAATTGATAATTGAATAATTATTTTTTTTGAATTGGTAGGGCTAAATCAATGTTTTTGTGAGTCATTGTTTTCGCTTCTCAGTGCCTGTGGTTCAGCCCATTTTACAGTTACGTCTGAACGGTTCTTAAGTGCTTTGAGGAAGTTTATATAAAGACGCTGAGAAATCTGAGATCTGTAGTTCACAAAGTACACACTGCAGGCTTTTAGGTGCATTACAGTAGGGATTTAATAAAAGCTAAACAATTGAAATGTGAATAAAAGAAAATACTTTCTTAAAAGGAATTCGAAAAACTCGTTGCACATTTAGTTTGACTGCGTAACGTGGTGAGCCCTGTGACCTTATGAGGTGCAGATTTTGTTATATTCAGACAGAGCCAGGCTAGCTGTTTCCCCCTGTTTCCAGTGTTTAGGCTAAGCTAAGTGCAGACATGAGAGTGTTGCCAGTCTTATAGAAATAAGTGTATTTAAGATCAAATGGGATTTTTCTTTGAAACAACATTGACTTTTACTTACTACAAAAAAAGGGAAGACACACAATCTTAAGTGTCATCACATATTTTCCAATACTAATCATTCTTCAGTACGTTTTCAGTCACTTTTCTTCCAAACCTAGTCAGGAAAGGTCATGGCAAAAATTTCCGAATTCTCCTTCCGTAAGAAAATGTCCTTTGATGGCTCAGAGGGCCAAGTCCTATTTGTTTGTGATGTAGCCTAGAGCAGAGTTTAGAGCATGTTAAGGTTGCTGAGAACCAGTGGGTGGCCTCAAGGGGGGAAATTATATTTTAAATGAACAGACAGCAGTTGCCTCCATGTCCACTTGTTTGTTTATTTTATAGCCTTCAGTCTAAAGTTTACATTGTCTAGTGCAGCATGGGCTTTTGCTTATCAAATGAAGCTGCATCCACGTCACAAAAAGCTGCAGCACCATGAACAATAAACATTTTATGTAGGCATTGCTGTCATAAATGTTGATATGTGCAGTTCCAGTCTGATGGTACTGTACGTCAAGATGTGTACAGTGTATAACACAATCCAGTCTTTGTTCATTTGAGAAAGGTTTCATCTTATTTGGAGCTGTCCCCATGTGGCAATCTATACACTTACTTTAAGCAGATGTAGTTTACAGTGCCTTATTCATCATCTCTGTTAGTATGTTAGAATAAAGAAACATTCGCTAATTAGCACATTCTTCAATAAAATCACAAACGTCAACCTCATGGTGGCGCTAGAGAAAAAGTCAGGGGATGTCTGTACAAAATTAGAGTAGAGTATTAGAGTACATCCCTCATCCTTTATTATTATTATCCCTTATGCATTACTAACAATAATAAATGAGTGTAATAATAATTGAGCATTAGTGCTGCAGTTCCTTGCTAGTGCTTTTTGTATTTTCGATACCATCTAAGGTACAATGGATTCCTCTGCCTCCATTAAGGCCTTTAAAAATATTTTATATTCCTACCTTATCTACCATACACTAATAAAACATTATTATGAGATGTTAAATCAACCTCAAGCATATCACAGTAACATTACAAAGGAGTAAAACCTGTTTTTAGGTTTTATGTTGCTGTTTAAAACAGTCAGGTTGTCTGACAAATAAAGAAAGTGAATGTAAATAATTTAGAATAGTGATTCTCTAGTGCTCTTTCTGTGTGTGGAGGCTGTAAACAGAGTGCTCTTTAATGGGGAATCTACAAATGACAGAAAGGTGAAAATACTGCTGTAGCTGGAATGTGAATTAATTTGTGAAGTCAGGTTGAACACTTCCAGGAGATCTGGAGAGAAAAACAAAAGTGTCTGAGAAAATGAGGTTAAATTAGGACAAACGTGTGGAACTTGCTGCCAACACATTCCAAGTATCTACTGTACTTTTTTTTTCAATGATTTGTGTAATTGATTTAAAATCTGGCTGTGAAATGCTGCATTACTCAAGCAACTAAGCAACATAAAAGCAGTTAAGTGCTGTTTTTATTATCTGTATATCCTAAAAATAAGAATACTGGTTCATTTGTGGTTCTTCCCTCTTTAATTACCTTTAAAGTGCCATATTGTTCTTCAGCTCTAATGGCTCAACATAAAAGCCCGTGAGTCACTGGTGTTTAGCTCTTTGCTCAGTATCACAATATTACCAACTTTTTCCTAAGAGCACCTAAAGCACATGACACAATAGCCTTTACTTGGGGCCATCAGCTTTCAACCAGTGGATCAAGCAACTCATGTACTTGAAATGGTTGCCAGGTTATTGTTGCCCCTAGTTATAGAGGTGGAGGAGGGGGGTTGAGGTACTTCCTGAAACAAGAGTTACAGTAGTTCTACCAATTAGATGAAAATCCTTCTGCCAGCAACAGCCTTAAAGGAGAGAAAACTCATTTTATTTCTCCCCTGTTTGTTTCACTTTGTGTTTCTCACACACACTCTCTCTGACTTTTCTTTTTTTAACCGCCTCATGACATTTGCATCACACTTGCTTTCCTGTTAAATGCAAATCAACTGTTTTCGCTGTCTGTGCTCTGGCTCCTACAGGTGGCAAAGGACGAGGCAGCTGCAGCAAGGTAAGACTCCCTCCTGCTCTTCTACAGTAAAATATAATATTATTTCTGTATTATTTAAGAGTTTTTTAACTGGCTTGTTGAAAATGTTAGTGTTATGTATATAATATAGTGTTTACCCCTTTGTTTCAAGATAAAGTGCAATTGGACATAGTGGTACAGGCAGAGGTGAAAATAAATATCATGCGTTTATTCACACTGTGAGGTATTTGTACTTTATTGAGTGTTTTCATTTTAAATTACTTTATACTTCTACACCATCACAATTCAGAAGTGAATATTGTACTTTTTAAATGTGTTAGTAGTTGCTTTTCAGGGTAACACTTAAGTTAAAAACATTTAATAAACGGTTTATACACACTATAATGGAGTTAAGCATATGTTTGTACGATTATAACGTTTCCTATGAAAACATTTCACATTATGTCAACTATTTACTATTTACTACTCTGCTTACAACTTCATCATGGTGTGTATAAAATACATACATACAATACATAAATTAAACCATTGGTACCCAACTTTTTTTTGGCTTGTCCTTCCCCGTAAACATTCAAGCGATAAATACTTGGGGCCAGTTAAGTTGTCAGTAGTTGCAAAAAAAAAATATTTCCCCAGTTTGTGGCTCAAGGGTTGAAATGAATGTTTTTTCCTCATTCCTCTCCTGTTAATCATCTCACAACTTCTTAGATTTATTTTGTGACCTTTTAAAGAGACTGGACCCCCACATTCAGAACCACTGACTAAACTACTTTAACTGTAAAGTAGTTAAAACTACCTACATCTCAACCAGCTACAACAGTGAAATGCTACTTAAGCTAACATGTAGATGTATTATGTCTTCACAAGGGCTTTTTTTTAATTTTACTTTAAGAACATTTTCAGAACTTTAATCATAATACTAGGGCAAGGTTTTAACAGAGTATTTTTACATTGTTGTACAGGTAGTTATACTTTAGTAAGTAAGAATCTGCATACGTCTTTCACCACTTGCTCGGGGTAAAACAACACAATCTCAGTGCCTATAATAAGTTAAAAGAAAATCTTCACTCGAGTCAAATTAAATAAGAACATCTGACTTGTTTACACAAATTGCTCATTTGCACTGTAGCACTCAAGACGATCAGCTCTTAAGCGTTAATTCAAATTGTGATGCTGTAATTCGAAGTGAACGTCAGCTGTGTTCCTCCAAACAATGTGACTGCTGTGCTCCTTTTTTCTCCACAAAATGAAGGATGATCGCAGCACTTAAAACCCAAATCTCTCAGCATTAAAAAGCAGCACAAATGGTGCGAGGCTTGACAATGCAGTTTACCAAACAATAATGAACTTCAAGAGCTTCGGAAGTAGATGCGTGGATTCCTCTCAGGCTGCAGGGTAAACACAGATCGGATGGACACAATCTATCTATCAATCTCTCACAAACATGCCCTTCACATACAACAACATGCAGAAAATTGTCCTCTACTGCTCCCACACTATGATTAGAGAAACAAAACAAACCCTGCAGAAAAGATAACATACTTTTCTGACTTTCTTCAGGTTTTAGTTGAGGGGATGATCAGTGGAGCAGCACACACACACAAAGACACACACTCCACAGCAGCCCAAAGAGGCATACAGAGCCCTTCTCCTTAAATGGTCAAAGCTCCCAGGAGTGAAAGAGAGGCTGCTGCTGAAAAAAGACAGGGAACAGAGGGGACGGGAGAAGGAAGGAGAAGCCCTGAGGATAGAGGAGTTTTCTGAGGAAAAGGCTGAGAGTGACAGTTGGACTGTGGGAAGTCAGTCTGAGTTGGAGAGATCAGCAGGAGTGTGTGTGTGTGTGTTTCTCTACAGCGCTAGTGGTGGACTCAGGTAATGTGCGTGCTCTCTGTGGACAGGTTCAGATGATCGGCTGCGTGGGGACTTGTGGGGTCTTAGTGGGTGATGGTTTTAGGTGGACACATGCAGCTTCAAGAAGTTCAGCTCTATCTGTTAGCGTCTCTGCAGCTGTGTCAAATTTGTGCAAGAGGGTGTGCTTTTTGGACTTTTTGACAGTTGTCGGCCTGTCTTGTAACTGCCGGGGTGAGTTTACATAATCTGTGTTTGTGTTTGTCTGGAAGTGAGACTCTGTGTTACCTTTCCACCTTCTTGGTGTGTGATCCTGCATTTTTAAAGTCATGGATTTACTACCTCACTTGACTGTGCATCTCTCTGCTCATTTCTTTTTCTTTCTCACACTTCCTCTTCCATGTTATCTCAGATTCTGGGTCTGTAGCGACCACTTCCTCTGCTGGCCCTGTACTCTGTGCTTCACACAACCAAATTTTAAACAAATCTGGCAAGAGGGAGCGGGCTTATGTAACAGAGGAGAGGAGGAGGAGGGGGAGGAGGGTGCCGGTCCCCTCTTCTCCCTCTGAGGAAAGAGACAGTTATAGGCCTGGTAGCAATGAGAAGCTAATTCTGATGGCTCTAATGGACAAATACGGTTTCCTTTAGTAGATGAGTAGAAAAAGATTTCTGTGTCCTTGAGGGTTTGTAGTGCAGGGACTGTCTGTGTTCAGGCTTGTATGTTCTGTCCTGTGCCCCCCTGTAACACACACACACAGGAAATAATCTGAGTGATTCAATTACTCTGCAATATTTATCTCAGTCTCATGGTCTCCCGGGGAAACAGTCTGCACTGTTGTGCCTCCTAGAGGGCAGGTTGGCATCTTTGTTTGAGTAATTTTTCAAGAGGCAATACTTTCTTCTGCCTCGGTCAGCAGTGTGCCGTGTGTTTGGTTCAGATGGTTCTCAGACGTTAGATACAAAGATACAAACTATTCGATTTAACTGTGATTTCTTTGTCTAATTATTCATCTCCTTTTTTGGTATATTTTGATAAAACAACAGCTGTTTTAGCTGTGGAAAAAGTACACTACTGGTGAAAGAATTCTAAAAATCGGTTGCAAAAAAGGTAATTAAGATTTTTATGTCAGTCATGAAAAATGCAGGTGGTTGTTACCAAAGCCTTCCTCCAGGGGCAATTGGATAATCACATTAGAAATATTCGGTGACTCATCCTCACATTTATATTAGTAGTAGAACCTCAAAGCTGAGCTCTTCTGCTCAGATTTAATCAATAATAACAGAAGAAGGTGACTAAGAAGACAGTAGCAAAAAAACAAATTTTCTTGCTTTCCTACTTAAAAATGGTAACTCACCTCAACAGCAGTGTAGTAAAGCTGCTTTTGAGAGTGTTAGAACATCTGTATGAACTGCAACTGCAGTGAGAGAAAGAGCAGTGAGTTTAATCCTGTATGACAGTATTCTTGTAGTCAGGAAATATCCTTGCAGCTCGCTGGGAGTCAGTTAAACAACCCATTTCCTCCCCAGTGACTCACAGCCTTTCTGTCCCTATATGTTCCCAAGAACTTGTCATGTGTGTGATGACACTAAACAGCACGCTGCATATTCTGGCCATGAATTCACAGAGGATTTGTCCTGCGTTAAGTGCATGCCATACCTCTGAAATAACCAATAATTTATCATGCATTTCAGTCACCTACACACCTTATTCATCAGCTGGTGAATGACTACAAGCACTGGCAGTAAGGACACACCTGTGCTGGTCATCCATATGGAAATCTTTCTATTTTTGGTGAGACCAAACGAATGGGGACAACATTAGCATCCAGTATGCTGACCCCCTGACAATAGTTAGTGCACTGTGCTCCTTCAAAGGGTTAAATGTGCTCTGCATTTAGATTTGCATGAATTTGTGACTAAACAGGGAAGAGCTGCCAGTTCAAACAATGGTTCAAACGAGTTGCACGCACATAATATTTAACGAAATTAGATCTTGTTTCTCTTTAGTTCAGTGAGCCAGGTAACTGCTGCAGGCAAACATCATTTACAAACGACTTAAAGCTGACACAATTAGCCACACGATCTGCAACAAATTTGCTAATTAAATAATAAAAGTAATTTTTTAAGCCTTATCAACAAATGTGAATATTTGTCATAATAAACTGAATATATTTGGACATTTGAAAGACAAGACAGTTTCTCTCATTATCAAATGACACATTGGGGAAATAATCAGCAGATTAATCATCGATGATTAATTTAATCTTTAGTATTGTAAGAATAGCACAGGCTTTGTTTTTGATTTGGGAAAAATTTTAATATGAGCAAATTTACTGCTAACATGTATTTGCATTGACCATATCATGAGTTCTGCACATATGTTTAGATTGCACCAGCTGAAGCTTCAGCAACGTTTATCATTAATGCCAAAAATATCTTCAGTGTCCTCTGTCTCTTCTATCATAGGATCAAGATACTTTTCAGTTTTGCATCATTTCCTCTGTTGCAGTTATTGATTAGTTATTTTCTTTCTCCTCAAATAAATGCTGCATCATTTTGTTTGCTTATCACGTAACATACTCATAATTAGTTGTCCTTTAACGGCTTTCCTTAATCTCTTCTTATCCTGTTATTATTATAATACTAGCAGTCTCTTCCACATTGAACTTTGATAAGTCACACCGTTGATTAGCTTTTAATGAAAAACACATTTCGTGTAAAGTTTCAATTTCCTCTCTCAGCTATCTTAGTTTGTTCTACACAGCATGCACTCATATCTGTGTTACTTTCATCATTTATCTACGAGGCCGTCTTTTTGTTTTACATCGTCCATCAGGAGCTCATTGCCTCAGTCAGCCTGTAAGAGCAAGTTGCACTGAATGTTTTATAACAACCTGGTGTATCCCAGTCAGTGTGTTTTCTGGTCAAAACGATTTAAGTCATGGTGTGGGAAGAAAAATTCATTTTATCTTTGGCTTTGCAGGCTCAGTCATGAGTGGTATTTATTTGTGTTTTCGATCGCTCGTGTTGTAAAGCAGATGATTCAGCGCGAGTGTTGCTGTTTTCCTCCACTGAGCATCACTCAGATAAAAATGATAAATTGTTGCTTGAGTCTAGAAGAATCTAATCAATGCTTCACTGTCTTCCAAAGCCAAAAAATCAAGACCTGAGACTTTTAATGCTTCTTTTTGAAGTGAAGGAGCGAATAAATATATTCACAAATTTAATCAGAATCAGAATCAGAATCAGAATCAGAAATACTTTAATAATCCCAGGGGGAAATTACTTTTGTTACATATCTATATACTCCATAAGTAATAGAAAAAAGCAGAATACGACATACAATATATTAAGATATAAAGAAATGAATTAAGAATTATTAAGAATTAAGAATACTAAAAGTTGAAATGTACAGTTTAAGTCCACTTTCAATGTTGAAAAAATGGCAAGTGTAAAGTGACTATGTGTACAGTAACTATGTGTAAGACTATGTATTACGGAAAGGGGCTGTCTGACTCTCAGAGAAGAGGGAAGAATTGAATGACCACAGGCAGGAATGTGTTACCGCCACCTGTAGATCAGTGGAATAACGTGAAATTAAAAGATGGATGTCAATAGTGTTGCCTGCATTTTTGCATGCATCCATGTGCGCAATATAAACAAAACAGGGACCCACTTGTACAAACATTGCTCCATAGAGATGTAGTGGACATAAAAATATAGTGGTATCACAGGATACCTACGTTTTTCATATTTTTCATGGCATAAACGAAGCAAAATGTTAGATGTTTCATGACATTCTTAGTGGAAATGAATGAGAATTCAAAAGGCATACAATTGAGTCATAGGAAAGTTTTGTTTCAAGGTGGAGTTTTTGTGCCTGATGTAACAGCCTGTTGGGAAAGTTTCCTAATACTGCTATTCCAAGGCCATGGAGAATGAGGATATTTTGGGATTTGTTTATGGTGGGATGGTTTTGTTAGTTCAACTGTATCTTTTTTTAGTTGTGGTTAGCCAGAAAACACTTCCTCCAGAACATCTACATTCATGTGCATTTTATTTTCTCAGACAAAAAGTCAGCAGCTAATGTACCAGTTCACTACCTGCAGTTAGGGAACAGTTTCTCATAAGATTTGTCTTACAAACATACACGTGTTTGTGTCTTCATTTGTTCATGATCTTGCAGCTCCAGGAAGAGGAGGAGCACTTGCTGCAGGGATCTCCTCTTGAACAAACTGATCATAACTTCAAGGAGTTGTGTGACACCCCCTGTGCTGCTGAGAGTCCTTTTGTTTTCCCCCACACCCGCTCACGCCCCCCACTGACCCCCGCCATGCCCACACTGCCTGAGGAAGAGGAGGACTCCCCCGAGGAGCTGGACAGTTCCTCCAGCTCTCCAAGTACAGTGAGTGCACACACTGTCACATATTCTGCTTTTTGTAAAAGCATGTGAGGCCATAAAAACTGACACTAAATAATCCATTTGGCCCTGGTGAGGAAATTATATCAATGTTGCTATTGAAGTCGGTTCTCAAACACAAACACAAAGTGTCTTCAGAATATTGCTTTCAGTGTAGCAGTACAAGGATTTGAATAATCCCTCGTAAGTGAAAGGATGTTTTTCCTTCAGCCAATCACTTTTTTTCATTTTTACTATGGTTACAAATGTTGCCTGTAGTTATTCTTCACCGATCAGCCATAACATTATGACCACTGACAGGGGAAGTGAATAACACTGATTATCTCGTTATAATGGCACCTGTCAGTGGGTGGGATATATTAGGCAGCAAGTGAACATTTTGCCCTCGAAGTTGATGTGTTAGAAGCAGGAAAAATGGACAGCGTGAGGATCTTAGCGACTTTGACAAGGGCCAAATTGTAATGGCTAGACGACTGGGTCAGAGCATCACTGCAGCTATTGTGGGGTGTTCCTAGTCTGCAGTGGTCAGTACATATCAAATGTGGTGGAAGGAAAAAAAAGCAGTAAACTGGAGTTGGAATTTTACTGTACTCATATTTTTGTGGTTTCCCACATAGTGTTTACAAATTACTCTGTAATTGTACTGATTCCTGAATGTTTTATGAGTCTTTGAAGGCCACTTTGCCTGTCTTTTACAGTAACTCATCCATAATAGAGCCACTATTAGATCTGAGGTATAGACTTTGGCAAGACCCTTGGGGCGAATTTGTGATTTGTAGGTTTGGGCTGTATAAATAGTCAAGTCAGATTTTAGTTATATAGCCCAAAATCACAAATCCCAATTTGCCTCAAGGGGCTTTACAATCTGCACGGCATACAACAATCTCTGTACTTAGACCCTCGATTCGGGTGAGGGACGCCCCCCGACCCGATGTTGCATGTGCAGGACAAACACACATAATCACATTATACACAAAGCTCTGAAATGTAGATTATACATCAGGCAGAATATATATAAACAAAAGATGACTAAATCTAAAAAAAAACGTATTAAATTATACCAGTAGGAGTAAATGGAAATAAAATCTTTTTGTCATTTAAATGAAGTGACCCTTTAAATCATGAACGTCCCCAAGATTAAAATTCTAAATTGTATTTTCTCCAAACATCCTGCAGACAGTGAAGTGTTAAACGGTTGGCTTTCTGAGTCCTCAGAGAACATTGTCTTTCACCGCAGACATGTCAACACACAGGATAGATAAGATTTCTCTGCAGAATGTAATAACGCTCTGTAATCTAATCTTCAGGGCATATGCCAACACTATTAAAGTCTCTACCTTCGTTACAGCACAGCCTTTCTACAGCATTACCATCAGAGGGAATCCTTTTATTAGGATCCTAGCGCAAAGATAAGCTCTGAGAGGAGCTCTTAGGGAATTAGTGTTTGATTTCAGTCAGAGTTTACATGCACCTTTGATGGTTGGACAAGAATTTGAGCTTTTATGAAACAGGAAATTTGTGAATACACGAAGTTCAGTTCACTCGTCACTAGGAGTACAATTCAGCCTGCAGAATAATGTGTTCTGTGGGGTTTTAAAGAAGTTGCCCTTTAGGAGGGAAGGGGGGAGTTGTTATTGAAAGAAAGATGCCAATGAGCACTCATATATAATGCACAGTGAATTAGATGAACCAGGTGGTCTACGAGGGTCCACTACTCAATTTTGCCTCAGGGCTCCATAGTGGGTCAGTCCCATGTAAATTCTTGATATTCTATAAATGTTTTCCAGTTTAATTCCTACAGTACATCTATATCTTTGACACTTGTTTTCCTGTCTGTTTTACTCAGTCTGCACCAGGTGAAAGTCGAGCTGTCGTCATAACTGCCCCCACCATCGTCTACCCACAGCAGGCTACTATTGTCCAACAAGATGGACGACCCCTCGAGCAGGCCAGGTAATCGTCCACCATCTTAAACACTGAACGACTGTAAACAGGGACATTGTGTCTGAATCATTACTGCTTCCTCTCTCAGGCCACACAGTCCCAGAGCTCGCCTGGCTAGAAACTCATCTGGAGGACCCATCACAACAGTCGGTGGGTAAACCCTGTACAGACACACACACACACACACACACACACACAACTGTAGCTGCAATTATCTAAAGATAACCACAACACTGCGAGAACTATTTTGATGTTATCGTTAGCAACATTTGCTTTAGTCCAGCTCCAAATTGAAGCCGCAGAAACACTTTCTGAAGTGTTTTTCCATAATTGAACAGTTGTTTTAAGCTGTTTTTAAGTAGAAATTTAACTTCTTTGCCAAACTGCAGTTTAAAAACAGCTTGATGTCATTTTGTTGAAAGATCTGTCTTTTTACGGATGAATAAAAGAAAAAATAATGCTCTTATGCTGTGTAGTTACACAAGAAACTCCACAACTTTCGACTAAGTTTGGTCATCTGTGTCCTGAGAGATGAATCTGTCGGAGTGTCCTCCCACGTGCCTCAAATGCTTGTTTAGCTTGTTGCCCTTTTCTGAGGAGAGGGGAAGATAAAAACATCTCTGACTTCGCCAACCCTCATCACCTGATTTATTGGCTGACATCCATCTGTGAATTATTCTCTGGCATGAGGCTCTATAGGGAGGAATCCCACTTAAATATCTTCTTCAAATGACTCCAGTCCAAAAGCAGTCTCAGACTTTGTTAACCCTTTTGTGTTTAATTTTTTGATGTACTACAATCTATATTTTTAAACAATTACAACCTGAAGCCTACTGTTTAACTTTCCTGTTTGTCTATAACTGCATTTTTTCTGTGTGTGTACATGTGTGTACTGTCTTTCTCAGACAGCACAGGTAATGTGATCGACCTGGTGAAAGATCAGCTACCAGAGCTGCAGCTCTCTGACGAGGATCGACAGAAGAACCTGGAGCTGCTCGAACAGGCCAAAAAGGTCAGCGACCGCTTCCTGACACGCCGCGGCCGGCGTTCCACCGGCAGCCTCACAGAGTCGCCCACAGGTAGTGAATGCACAAACACATGCTCATAAAACACTGTACATAGCATATCATTTCTTAAGCATGACACGATTGGTAAGAAGTAATATATTGTCTTAGTTTCTAAGAATGCTCTGGTACACTCATACACTTATAATTGGATTGAGTTTGTTACTTCAAAAGGGGATAAAGTCACAATGGACTCAATTAGGCATCAATTCAGTTAAGTTTAATTCACAAATTTTCCACAGGTCTTTCTCCAACTCCAACGCCGTCATCCTCACCATGTTCATCTAGAAGCAGTTCACTGACTGTGGCTCCTCACACTGGTAATATAATTCATTCTTTGTCTGGGTTATTACTGAGAACTAGCTAGCTATTTATTTATAACTTTTCTACCCTATGTCCTACTGGCCACTGGCATTTGCAAGAATGATTTTGGTTGTTTTCTGCTCTTTCAGGACCCACAGAAGCAACCCATGTCAGCTCACAGTCGGTTGGGCAGGTAGAGTTATTGTTATAAAAAAAGCAACATTCATCATGATGGTCTGATTGTGTAATTTAGATATCTTTTGATGCAAGTTCATTTTATTTAGCCTTTTATTGTGTTTTTTAAATGTTGCTCTTATTTGTTTTGTAAAGCGCTTTTCCTTTGTGCAATTCTGTCTCTAGAAACAGAGACTTTCCTTGCCTTAACCATTAAAAATGAGCCCTGCCTGATTTTAACCTAATCAAATCACTTAATACTTATCGGTCCATACAAGTAATACATTTATTAACACTAAAAAATCTGCTATAAATAAAATCTGTTGTCCTCTCGTGTAGCATCTGGAGGTTCCTTCAGTGCAAGAACGGCATGACTTAACGCCTCAGGATCAGGAGGTCAGATTAATAGCTTCACTCACTGCATTTTTGTTGTATTAAAGAACCAGTGTCTAGGATTTAGTGGTATCTAGTGGTGTAGTTACAGATGGCAACTCCCTCGATGCAGCAAAACACACAAAAACATGCGAGCAGCCTTATCTAGAGCCAGTGTTCGGTTTGTCCGTTCTGGGCTACTGTAAAAACATAGAAGTTCAACATGGTGGCCTCCATGGAAGGCGACCCGCTGCGTCTGTAGATATAAAAGATTCATTTTAATGTACCTATAGTACAACAATTATTATTTTCAGGTGATTATACACTAATGAAAATATATCTATGAATATGATAATTCCATTTCTGCCAATAGAGCCTCCTAAATGTTACACACTGGAACTTTAACACAGATGTTACACTTAATATTGTCTAATGCACACCTGATAGAACGGTTCGTAGTCAACTCCTGCACACTGTCAACCCTATGTTAACATTTCACTCGTAGACCTTTGTCAGGAAAAAACATCTAAATATTTGAGTATGACATTTTTAATCGCAAACATTCACTCATCCCTAGTAATATCCCTAAATATGTCAACAACTGCAGTGTGGAATTGCACAAACTTAGTACAGACATTCATGGTTCCCTACTAACTTAGCTGATCTCCTGAGTTTTCCTCCAGTGCCACCATGAGTTTGACGTTTGTGGTTTTTAGTGAAATGTCTTGACAACAATTGGATGGTTTGCCATGGAATTTGGTACAGACATTCACACTCCCCTCAGCATACATTTGTTATGAGTGTGATGATGCTAGTTAGCAATTAGCTCAAAGCACTACTATGCCTAAGTACAGCCTCATAGGGCCACTAATATGACTGTAAACTCTTGTTTAGTGTCTTTACGTTTAATGCCTGTTGAAGGTACTGACAGTGTGCAGCAGTTTATTACATACCTTATCAATACAAATATGGAATTGTAATTCAAATACTACAGGTGTCTTAACACAATAGCGATGCTAAACATATTAATAATACTCATTATCTTACTTCAACTTCAGGGCAACAGACTTTTGGTGGATTGGAAGCCCACTGAGAAGAGGAAAGTGTCCTCTGGGACTCTAACACCCCGTTTTGCTGTTCAAAAGGAGAACTGTGATCCTGCTGTACCTAAGAGTCCTCCATCAGTCAGTAAAGGGGATGAGGGAGCTGGCCGAAACTCCAACCAAGCCCCGGCCACAGGGGTGGCCAAGCCCGTCCCCCGCCCCCCTACTCAACAAGCCCCCTGTACAGCAGAGATCAAGACGATTGGGGCCTTCCCTCCACTAATGAGGGCTGTTTCCTGGGACGCTGTAGGCAGCCTTAATTCTAGAAATGGAGCCCCGAGTTTTCCTCCCACACCGGAGGATACCTTCTCAGACAAGCCCAGGGATGCTGTATTCAAATCCTCAGGGTACAAGGACCTCCCCACCCAGCCAGGGGGTGTACATAAGCTGTCTAAACTCAAAGAGGTAAAGCATTTGTTCAGCAGATTACTGGTTACTGTCATTACTGCCCGCTTTTGTAAAATGTTATAAGAAAGACAAGCTTTGTTCTTATGTGTGTGTGTGTGTGGTGTGTGTGTGTGTGTGTTTATACAGGAGCACAAGCTGATGCGTAACCAAAGCATAGTGGGATCCAAGTTACCAGACTTGAGTGAAGCTGCTGAACAGGAAAAAGGTAACAGTCCTTGTTTGCCCTCTTGTCCATGTAAGACAGAAAGTACTCTCAGCAGTACATTTAGCAATGTCGCCAAGGGTGTGCACTTCCTGAATCTCAGGGAAAATCTGTTCCAGTCAGAAAATTATGATGATGATCATCTGTTCTTGTGGTTTTTTTCCTCTGTGCCACCCATTTACTGGCAACCTCATAACAGAGAAATAAATGCTGTTTTCATTTTCTATCAGCAGATGGCATGATTGTGAAAGCAGGTGAGCCATCTGTGGAAGATGAAGGAAATGATTTTAGTTATTTTGTGTGTTTTGGAAAGAGATAGAGGTGTAGGCTTAAGACTTGGACTTGAGTCAGACTAAAGTCCCAAAAATTAGAACTTGAGACTTTACTTGGACTACTTTATTGGATTGTGTTGAGACTTGAAAGCCTAAAGATTCAACATTTGAGAAAGCCAACGTTTTGAAGTGTCAAGTTGTGACCTAATAAAATCTATTAACTATCAACATAGCTTTAAAGGAAACTGTACAATTGTACAATTAAATTCATTTTATTTTAAAGGCCAGCATTTCAAGACCTTAAAGTCAGACTATGTCACTTGAAAGAACAAATAACACCTTCTTTTCACAAATGAAACAGTTGAATATATAGGAAATAATTCAACACACTCAGGGGTTTCAATGTTACAACCAAACATGGTCTGGTATGACCACTGCGTTTGATGTTAGCAAACTAGACTTTGGTGTGTACAGTAACTGACATTACTGAATCAGT